TTTGCTATGTGATTATTATTGAATCAAGCATATGGGTTGTTGAGGTATATGCTGCTTGTTTTTCTCTGCCAACAGAGAAGACTTAGGGATGTAGCTTTGCCAACGAGAGTCAGTCAGAGCAGTGAGGATGAAAATGTACCAGAGTTCTGCATTGATGCTGGTTCAAAAGGGAACTTTGCTAGGTTTATAAATCACAGTTGTGAACCAAACCTATTTGTTCAGTGCGTCCTGAGTTCTCACCAGGACCTAAGGCTTGCCCGTGTGGTTCTTTTTGCAGCTGACAACATTCCCCCACTGCAGGTACTGAGATACTTATCTGTGAAGTGTGACTCACTCAAACATTCCCTTTATAAAGAAATCTCACTACATTCTCTTATGTCAACTGTAGGAGCTGACTTATGACTATGGATATACGCTTGATAGTGTTCATGGGCCAGATGGGAATGTGAAGAAGCTCACTTGCTACTGTGGAGCGCTAAATTGTAGAAAACGCCTCTACTAACAAGGCTATTGGATTAATCTCATTTTTTGGTCACTCTATTTTGGGGAGAGTACATAAAAATAGTAACTATCTCCCAAGTGGAAAAGAACCCTTATCATCTTATTGGAGGGGCTTTAGCATTCTTCTGCAGCGTTACAATTAGTGCTGCCTTTTGGGCATTGGTGTTCCCTGAACCCTTTTATTTTTATAGGCATCATCGTATTTATCGTGTCGACAATAATATTATCTCAGTACTTTATTTTCTTATTGGATGCGACTGCGGGTCAAGATATCTGGCGATATAAATAGATATTATTCAACAACATATCAATATCCAAGCAAATTTGATTTCTTTATCATCCAACTCCAATTCAAATGCCTCATTCAAGAAATAAAAAGAAAACATAACAAATCTTAACGGGAAAAATGTAATTTAAATCCCGAACTCACACATTTTGGCCATTTTAATCCTCGACTTTCACTGTGGCCATTAAAATCATAGACTTCTCGTTGACGTTATTTTTAAATCACTATCTTTTGTTGACTGAGCCAGATTGAGCATGTCGTCAAATCAAATTCTCTAACAAAGTAGTTAACAACCGTTTAGGATCATTAATCGATCTATTTTAAGTTGAAAAATGAGAATCACAAGGACAAACGACGTCGATTTGGGAATTTAGACATTTCGTTTAAGGCAA